ATATTTAGAGATCAAGAGATCAAGTCAATCATGATCAGTGTATATAGTCTTAGAATTCCAGGAGAAATAGGAATCAAGTTGTTTTTACTGAGTTATTGTTTACTTTAATTACATACACTTCGCCCGTCACAGGTCAGGCTCCTAGTTACCTGACATAATTGGGTCACTACTGAAAAGATCAATTTTAGATGAAAGTGTAAGTAGTCTGAGAGTAGGAATTAATTTGGTTGGTATATTAGTTAAATTGGTGTTCCAAACAGACTCTGAAAGCCTTGCAAGTTTAGAAATATCCATCATTGGTGATGATGGTATAGGAGGAGAGCTTCCAGGGGGACACTGGATTGTTTTGGCATATTTGAATGTGATATTATAAAGCCTATTTTTAAATTAATTATTTTTATTTTATTTCTTTTTTATTCCTCTATTTTTGAATCTGTAAACTGGAATCAAAAATCATGTGATGAGGCAATTGGTCAACTGATCACGCGTCGAGCCCTGGTAAGGGCGAAGTAAAAAACATTTTTATCCAGAGAGTCAAAAGTTGGGTTTTGGTCGAGAAATGTTGAAATAGGTGGACGCGTATGCTAAAAACTATATCAATCGAGAGCTAATGACGATGCAAAACTGAATATCGAAATTAGAAAGGCGTAACTGATAATCGGCGGAAGCTGTGGTCGAAATGGCGATTTTCTAAAGTGTGGCAACCGTTTTTTCTTTTTTGTTCATTAACTTGGAGGGCAAGACTGAACACCTCTGCGCGGCGTCCTCTACAAACCTGGGAGTGAAATATTCTCCCAGAGCCAAGTTCAGTCAAATTTTGCAATATCAAAGAAGTTGGCCCACGAGGCAAAAATTCAAATTACTCCACCATGTCAATCTTTCACTCCCAAATAGTTCGATTCTCAACTAAGCTTCATCAAGTCTACAAGTACGACATAGTACATCCTCATTTCAATGACCACACCTCTCGTCGACCTTCTCTGGCCTCAGTTGACCACCAAATACACGCCCACGCCGATATTTATACCCGACGGAGGAAGCAAAGCGTGGCACACAAATCTGGGGGACAGTGTTAAGGTTATGAGTTAAATAGGAACATAGGTACTTGGAATGTGTCACAATGTTTGTTCAGATGATTTGATACTTGGTAATGTGATTGCTGGCAGGTGTCCAATACTTTTCCGATGCTGTTTATGAGACAGAACATAGACTACTTATATACTCTAATATGACCCTTGTCATTGTCTACGTTCTCTCTCCTGACTTACTGCCAACAGCGTGCCAAGGTAAAACTCTGCAGCTCATGAGTCCATCTCTCATGAGAGGCTTCCGCTGTTCCGATGGCTGGCGCGCGCGGTCCGAGTACGCGTCGCTGCAATGCCTCAATCACTTACGTGTAATATCCCAGCTGAGCGATCCTGAACCTAGCTGTTCAGGAACGACAGCAATCCAGTGCATGGTTCGCGCCTGTGGTTAGTGTGCACACCACAGCGTCGCTCCAATCGTTCCCATAAAATGTCTCAGATCCGCAGTCCTTAGTCCATTACTCAGGAGCGGAAGCAGTTGTATAGTTCCAATAATGCGCTAGGTCTGCATGTACCTCTGAGCGCTATTCCGTAATTGCCAGGCGATACCTAACCGCTTATGGCTAGCGCACGTGGTCAGTAGACTCTCCACAACGCTACCCCAACTGTTGCCCTTCAATGACTCAACCCGGTGCTCCGAAGTCCGAGACTCAGGAGCGGCAGCGGTTGTAACCATAGTTAACGCACGACGTGGATATGCACCTGTCGGCGCAGAGCCGTTCATTGACAAGCGATATCACAACAGACAGTTCTTTGGGATGGACGTGCGATGGATCAGGACAAGTTGACAAGATGATGCAAAAGAAGGACATAACCTCGAAGGGCATGAAGTTCCAAATTTTGGTAAGGAACATTTCCAAATTGAGCTTTGTGCGCGTCAAGACATCGCTAGCGAGAGTGCAGCTGACACTATAAAAACAAGCAAACGATGGAAGGTGTAGTGGTCCGCCTCCTGGTGATGTTCTCCGGTATAATTTGAGTAGCCTGGGCACCTAATCCACTTGGGAAGGAGACATCTCGGACCATATTTCGCGCAGAGAAAAGTTGAAAGATGATGGAGGCATGTCTGGATAACCCAGGGTTTTTGAGATGTTCCCCTGGGTGGGTATTCACGGATGAGGGTTGACTTGGGGTGAAGAAAAAGCCGCCATAACTTCGCAGTGGTACTTACAAATGAAATCTGAGGCATGAGTGCTCCTCTCGTAAATTGAGTCATCTATTCTGAACTTTTCTTTGATATTGTTTCATAGCTAGAAAGCTGCATACGCAATTACAATCTGGTGCAAAAAAAAACGCTAACACAGGGTATACGCAATCTCCGTTCACCACACACCAGTCGGTCGGGACTACTTGTAATCGAGCCTAGTTGTTACGGTTTGACCGTGGTTTAGCTTAGGCGGAGACCTAAGCGGAGTTTGGGGGTGTATTCGGGAGAGTGTTACATATTATCTTGTATCAAGCGACTAAGTTTCACTTGGCCACATTACATTAAAGCTAGGAAGGAATGTGAGACGGCGAAGTAGAATTGCCAAGTGAGAGAGTCAGCTAGATGGCAAAGATGACGACGGGCAGTGGCGGAGCAATATGTCATTCTCACCAACTGAGTACGTATTGGATGAGCTAGAAGGATGTACAAATAGACATTGCCCATAGTTGTGATACTTCTCTCTTCATATAGTTTAATCTTTCTAAAAGTACACGACAACCAGCTTGGTTTCGTCACACTAGTAGCATTGACAAAGTGTATCCCAACACAGAAATAATAGAAAACTCAATAACCAAACCCTTCATCAATAAATTCCATTAAGCATCACCTGACTTATCTCTGTACTCCAAATTTTTAACACTCATTACATTTTTATACACTTTGCTGTTTGAGCCGCTTGCCTGCCTTCTTTGCATCAGGCTCAGGTCCCAATCCAATAATCCACACGAAAGCGAAAATACGCATAGCCTTAACTTTGACCCATGAATAGTTGGAACAACGGGCTATATTGTAGCAAAAGTAGCTTAGAAAATGTTAACTAGGGCCTAATCGGAACAGTAAGTGCTGGAAATATTGCGCGATGAAATGGGCGCAATATTCCCGGACCAAAAGAAAAAGCTGGCCAAAGAATAGCAGTAGTGGTAGTAGTGATTTTCGAGTGGGGTCGCTTGGCAGCGTCAAAAACTAAGTAGCCTCCCATAGGACATGAAGCCGTGACAAGTCTGAATGCAGTAGTACAGCGCGAGGTGGAGAGAAATAGCCCCAGACTACTCACCGGCCCAGGCCTATATCAATAAATCTCTCTCGCCCTGTTCCCCACGCTGCGGCGAGAAAGGCAGTCAAGCAAAAGCGTGCTGTCAGAGAACCCAACTCAATTCCTTCGACCCGAGCCAACATCCTCCCGAGATAAGACTTCGGTCGTGGCTACTCGATGGAGTTGTGATCAGCCTGCTGTTCTCATTCCCCTCGCTGTGCGCTACAAGTACAAGTGAAAGCGACCCCCGTCCCCAAGTACCCAGCATAGGGAAATTCGAAAACTTTGATTATCCAAGTCTGTCTCTGTCATCCATGTATGTCAGCGCCACGTGAAATGTTGTTATGGGTTGGAAATTCACACCCTGAATGTTGGAAGCTTCCGTAGGATTGGAACAATAAAGGTTCTCACACCTGAGTCACGACTGGCATCAGTAAGAGTCACCTCATTGAGCATGTTTGGTGTACGAGACTCGACTGGAACATGGAGAGATATGATACCCGTCGGGTATAGTTTAACTCACCGACCCTGTTCTCATTCTAATTGCTGGAGCATGGGACTAGGCTCGGGGCTGATACTTGGTTTGGATTGCCGAGATACGTGTATATATGCTGTCTGGGAGCATCCAAGACGGATTAGTCAATTAAATTTATTCTATATCGCACTTCTCTTTCTACAGCTTACTATATTCTCTTCCGACTCGTATTGATGTTGTTCTTCTCGCAAATCGCGCCCATATTCCTTGAGCTGCCTTACTCATCGAACTCATACCGATTTTCCAACATTATGTATTGCCACATTCGAAGCAGCCATCTCCTGTCTCGACTGGTAGATGTATCTAAGCTATCTAGATTCTACTTGGATGGCCGGCCAAGATGATATACCACTGCACCATCCAACTATGGCGGTGTTTATATTGTCGCCTGAACTCTTGTCAAGGAATGTAATAAGCCAGCACTTCAAGCCATCTATTACTCACTCCCATCCTTTACCACACACGACATCGCATTGGCAGCCAAGACAAAATGGAGAACCAACACAACCTAAACACCCAGTGACTCCATTTCCAAGACAAATTGTATCAACTAGGTCTTGGACTAATCTTAAGTGCGCCATATCATCTCTGAGGGAGCTAAATCTCTTCTGATATTTGAGCAAGAGAGTTGTCATTCATAATGATAGCAGATCTACACAGTAATTTCAAAGTCCATCATTCATGCTGGTGGATTGGAGGTCGAGGGGTTAGAGCGTAACCTGCTTTTAAATTCCCGAATCCTCTCCTAAAAGGAGTCAGGCAAGTAAATGTCAATAAGGAGTTCAATCCTATTCCCCTACATCTCGATCATTAGCCACAAAATCTTTTTTCGGGAAAATTTCTCACGATCGAGGGCGAGTGGGACTTTGCAATTTCAGTTCCCAGAAAGGTGAAATAAGAAGCAGTTAACATGGGTTAAATTAATATTGCAAATGCCTCATAATATCCATGGCTCAAACATAGTTGATTGAGCTTGCCAAGCCACACTTTGGCTAAAAGAGAGTGTATATTAACTGCATCCTGAAATCACCATGAGGCCACTTCTATTCTATACTTCACTTTTATGAATCTTCAATCTTCAGATTGCAGCTTTTTGTAGCCCTTAGATTCAGAAGAAATACAACAACAGAACATTTGTCAATGAAGTTCTTCACCATCAGCGGCATTTCAACGCTCTTATGCATCTTAGCACCAGTGCAAGCTTTTGTAACACCGCCATTGCGAGATCTAATACCAAATGTATTACCAGTGCCTGACCCGAATCGAGAATTCAGATTCCACTGCCCAAATGGTCCCATATACTCAAAAGCTCAAGCCATGAAAGTAGTTCTGTTTGCCAAAAAATTTATACGTCCCGATAAACCAGATGATGAATATCCTTTTGTATCCACTAGACTTAGCTACAACGTTGCCGGAACAGTATGGTATTATCCTATGGCAGGTAATAATAGAATGCATGATATTTAGTTGCTTTCCAAGTACTTTAATACTAACCAATGACTACAAATTTCTAGAGGGCCCAGGTCCACATGATTTCGTTGTATTCAACACAGACGGTGAAATAGTCGGCCTAAACAGCCGCACTCATTATAGTCAAACCTCCGATGTCATTGAACATTGTGAATTTGAGTAAGTATTTGTCCCCCAACCCACACACTCTTATCATTTGAAGATATGCCTAATAATTTTGTTAGGTACTTGGATTGATGATGTCTTAGACACTAAGCGTCCAGTGGATTGAATTAAAGTCCGTACTGCATCCATAACTAGAAGGTCTTGGTTCAATTGAAAAATATAAAAGGATAATGATGAGACATCTACTTCTTTCCGGCTTGATGCTATATATCCAACTCAAACTATTTCTAAGTGAGAGTATCTTTGCCTCGATTCCCAAAATAACAGGTGTAGAAGGTCAAAATACCTGAAGTTGGAGCTTTGATCCTCCTGAGCACCATTTTGGGTGAGATAGTAACATAAGAATTGAATTTTTATTATAATCCCTTCTGAGTCTAAGAATTTGAAGGACTTCTAGAATCTACCATTAAAATTCTGGCTACTATTTCAATGTTAAAATTAATTTATTTAATGTGTTCCAATAGATGTTGAGGGTCATGCCCTGAGTAAGATGGTAAAGCTCGAGACAATTATAAGAAGATGTGTCATCCCATACCCAATGCTTCTCATCACTAGATTCAGTAAGCCTAAATTTATCTGCAGTTTGATATGATCCAATTTGAAATTTGTTTGTAGACAGTTTTGCCGTATGTAGAAGCATGAACACATCAGAGTTAGTTTGTCCAGTTTGGTTAGATTTTGTTGATTTTACCACTGTTAATGTTATAGACTTTGATCTTCTAAAATTTCTGCAATTTTACTACTTAATCACCTTGCACGTTAACTCATTATATTTTCCGTTATCACTGACAAAGATATATTCATGAGATTGCTTGATAAAATGCTAACATCATCTTTATCAAGAGAATAACGACCCTTCAGTCATTGAGGCTGTAGAGTGGATCGATTTTTGTTCTGTTTTAACCTTTTCAACATCTCGTTGGAGTTGGCCAGAGTCCTGTGCTCAGCCAAATTTGGTGCAAAGCACGGCACGTAACGCTTTTGGGGAGGACAAAGGCTGAACACCTGTCAGTGGTGTCCTCTACGAACCTGGGTATGAAATATTCCCCCAGAACCGAGATTCAATCACGACAAAGGGTGAATTTGAGAGTTTACGTCGAGTTGGTAATTGGGAGAAGTATTGTTGGCTCATTTGTGGTCGAAAATCCCATCTGCAGAGATTTCACGACTGCACAACTCCACGAAATCAACCATCTACACCCCAGATACGAACCGCAGACAGCCTGTAACCTGACTGATGTTCGTATCACAACAACCAACACCTTCAAGACCTATCTTTTCTTTTCCCCCAAAATTATCTCACCACCTACCAAAGCAATCCCATACCTCCAAAAGTCAAATCACCATAATACGTACGACATTTCGCCGGCACTCCATTAAGAGCGTTTGACAAAGGCTCGGGCACGACAGCGACGGGGCAAGGCCGGAGGTATGGACATTCTTCAAAGTTTCTGGGATGACTAGATCGGCTGGAAGATAGAGGGATGCTACATGAAGGAACTAAAGGAAAAACAAACTGTGGAGGCCTTTGTGGGCTACTGGATGATATTGAAATTGGTGCTTCCAATTATGGTAAAGACAGGGATGTGTAGAAGACACATCACTAATCTCCCATTAATTGTGAGGTTAGTATTAATGCGCTTTGACGTAAATACCTACCACTAGATTTTATTATTACGAAATATAGTTTATATAGCACTCTGTGTCCTAGTGGGAGTAATTAACAACTCTCCGCGACAGATTTACAGACTCCTTTAGTTTCCCACTCGCTTCACCAATTGATATAATCTGTGCATAACAGCCACAAGCTTTTGCAAACCAATCCGCTCAACATGTTATGACCCGGTGCCCCTAAAAGCAAAAAGATTCCATCACTATTAAGCATCCTCATCTCGAAAGAAGTCTTCTAACCGCACAACAGAAATGGAATCCTCGTCCGCGAAAACCGGCTTCTTCGCTTCGAGACTCGGAACTAACTACTTGCGCGCAATGTCATTAACCAATGTAACCCACCTCACTGGTCCTGAAACCTATAAGTTGTGGGCCATTACTATGACTGCAGTATTTGAAGGGCAGGAACTCAACGAGATTGTCGTCGACGGCAAAAAGCCGGACAGGGACGCTTTGCCTGAAGAAAAAGGAGCATACAGCCAGCTTTCGAGTATTGCTGTAAATATATATATTCAGGTCGTCGGTTCAAAGATCCATGGCAAGATCTTAAAACTCAAAGACCCTCACTTGATGTGGAAGTATTTGAAAGAGCAGTACCACCAGAACAGCTATTTTACATTGATCCACCAACTTAGATTGGTTGCGCTCCTCGCAAATGCATACGATCCAAGTCGCACTGTCAGTTCGGTCATCGACGAATTTGAGACGGAGTATGATTGATTAACATTGTTAGCCCGAGAATCTTCAAACTCGAACTGCCACAAGCTAGCCGACTTTCTTGATTATGATGAAGTTAAGAGGAGTTACAATTTGAGTTTGTTCTGTGAACATCATAAGGATGTGGTTGATAACTTGACAACTAAGGACAATTGTACCTATGCCGTGGTTAAACAACGTCTTCTTGATCTAGATCGCACTGCACCTCCTCCAACAGCTCTCATCACGCAAGTTGGCAAAGCAGACAATAACTCTCTCAAGCCAAGGAAAACTGGAAGGGTGTCCAAGCGTTCCAAACGCCCCTCGTCGAACGAATGTTCCTTCTGCAAGAAACGTTTTCCGACCGAGTATAAAGGGCATGTTTATAACTATTGCCCTAGACTTAAAGAGGAATTGTCCCAACTGAATTCGACACAATCTGAAATAACCTTACAACGGGCAAATATAACCGTTACGGGCATTGATCAGGTTAGTCATCTATTTTACCTTGATACTTGCGCAACTGCTCACATGTGTCCTTACCCAGAACGATTCGAACAACTCGTGCCTTGCTCCGGTTATGTGATGTCAAGTTCAAATGAGAGAATGTCAATCGAAGGGAAAGGAAGTATGTTGTTACACTGTGAGGTATCAGATGGAACTGTGTCAACTTTCAAGGTTAATGATGTACTATATGTGCCAAATTTATCTTTACTGCTATTTTCTTGGAAGGAAGCTAGATCCAAGGGATACTTACTCCATGACAATGGCAAAGTGATGATTATATATAAAAATAATAAAATCTGGTTGGAAGCTCATTACGATGGTGCCTTGTCAGTGATCAGGGAAGTCGCACGTAAAAATGAAGTAGCTTGCTCCACCTATGAATTCTGGCATAAAGCCCTCAGTCATACATCTCCTTCGACAATAACCAAGGCAGAGAAGCTCATCCAGAACTCAGGTGTAATTCCAAATTGCCCAAAGAACTTTCACTGTGATTCCTGCATGTCATCTAAATCCGTACACAACAAGCCAGCCTCATCAGCTGCACGATCAACATCGAAAGGCGGATACATTCACTCAGATCTTGCCAGACCGCTTCCTGTTCTGTTGTATGGCAATTGTCACAGTTCAAATATAGAAAGCGAATGGGCATTTGTATGATTGAAAGGTAAAGCTATAATTCATCTATGTAGAAGCAAACTACCTGCAAGTCTACTCTACTACTTATACACATCCAGAGGTATCTAAATCTAGCCTACACTTACAGTGGCAATGAAACTGACAAGAGGTTTGTTCTGCCACACGAGTAACGCTTCCGATACTCTTGGCACTATCCTTTACGTAGCCTCGGTGGCGATCTCGTATCAGTTTTCGTCTGCTGATAATCCTCGGAGTGATAGAGAATATAGGTTGCCTTCGATAGCCATCAAAGGCTACAGGACTTATCGACTCACAAGCCGTCACAGCAATGCACTATACTACATAAGTTTTTTTGACGACGCAACACGCTGTACCACAATTCAATTCCTTAAACAAAAATCTGAGGCGGCTCAGGCTATTATCAATTTTGTTAAGGCATTAGAAACGCAATACAATTGTCAAGTTAAATCACTCAGAACAGACAACAGCAGTGAGTATGTCAATGCACACTCTCCGATTTTCTGGTTCAGAAGGGGATAAGTCATCATCTGACGCCTCCCTATTCTCCCGAATCAAACGGAGTAGCTGAAAGGCTAAATCGATCTGTTATCAAAGGAGTTTGTGCAATTCTCGCATCAATTAAAGATAAGCGGTTATGGGCTGAAGCAGCAAAATGCTTCATCTACACTAAAAATTGTCAGGCGCATAGTGTTGTTAATGGACAGACGCCATATGAAGCATTCCACGCGAGAAAACCATCCATTCGACACCTTCATCCATTTGGTCAAGAATGTTATGTGCATATTCCCATGGCTAAGCAACCATTAGGATGCAAACTTCTACCAAATGCTGAGAAAGGTATATTTGTTGGATACACCAAAACTGATCATCAATATCAAATTTTTGTTCCTGCAAGGAAACAGATAGTTATATCGGCTGATGTAAAGTTTATCCCCTACGAGGGTGATCAACCTGTCGCTGATCTAACATTAACCTTGACTCCACACAAGATTCATCAACAAACTCCAATAACGTCCACAATATTGTTAAACAATTGGAAAAAATTACTCTAATGTTGGTGAAGAACAAAACATTCAAGATCTCTCTCATGATCAAGATCCTAATTATCTGTCTCAGTCAGAACCATTGCAAGAGTCATCAGTACCAACTTATATTCAACTCGAACCTCAACCATCTGCCTCAACTTCTGCTTCAACATCTTCTCAAAATCTTTTTAATCAAGATCATAATAACAATGTCAATTCCAAACCTAAACGCACTAAACGTCCTCGAACTTATGAAGATACGATAACGGGGGAGTGGTGGAAAACTTCTCGTGATCTTCATCAACCCGCATTGCAAAGTTCGAATGGTAACAATAGTGGTGATGAGGGACAAGAATTAGCACTTTTAAATGTCATTGATGTATCAGAACCCAAAACGTACAATGGTGCTAAGGCATCAGCAAACTGGGAAGACGGGAAAATA